AATGCAGGACTCGTGCACGAATGATCATGTATTCGAATGCGAGTGAAATGCCCCTAGATCTCTCTTGTTCTCTCTTTTCCTTCCATCAAATTTGCAATGAACATTATCAATTTATGTCGTTTGGTTTAGTTTAATTCGTTAGTAGTGATGAATGCTGTGTTAATATCAGACATTCCGTTTGGCTGCATATTGAGCTGAGCTATTTTCAAATAGCTGGCTGTTTGGTACATTTTGATTTTGTGACGAGCGAGCCATTCAAATTCATGTGGAATATTGAATTTGTGACACCTTTTTCAATCCTTTTCACGAATTTTTTGTGTCATAAATTCAACATTCCACATGAATTTGCATGGCTCACTCGTCACAAAATCAAAATGAACCAAACAGCCAGCTATTTGAAAATAGCTCAGCTCAGTATGCAGCCAAATGGAATGTCTGGTTAATATTGATCCTAATTAATAACGTGGATATGAGCGTAGAATTAATTCACATCATTTTCTCTCTTCATTTTTCTTCTTCTTCCGCGCAAATACCAGTATTTTCATTCGTTTAATAAGGTTTTCATTTGCTTCTCCTTTCTGACAGTGATTGCGTGTCTATGTCTCAGGTTTCAAACACGATTTTTAATGATAGGTTAAATATTTTGGTTTTTGTTTCGTTTCCTTTCGTCAGATAGAATACGAATACTGACAATGAATGAATTAATTTTCAACATTTTAAAATTGCATGCTGCGTCGAATTAAACCAAATCCCGAAAAGGAATGCTGAGAGCCGATTCAAAGAATATACTTATTAAAAAGAGATAGAATAGATTGCGTCATATTAACCCTTTATCACATATCGGTTCCTAAAGTAACTAGATACGCCAGACGCTATAGCTACGAAATCACTGAATATTTTTGCATTCCTGTTTATAAACAAATGTAGGGAATTGAACTAGCTTTCATTTGAAACTTTACAGGCTACAATTGGCTGGCTGAATGGAAAGTTTTTCCTGTTCATGTACTGCTGTAAAAAAATGCGAAATTATAGCAGAATTCCACATTTTTCCTCCTCTTATCTTTTGGGTTTGTACATTTTTTTTCAATTGTCAAATTAGGACTCGTTGGATCAAAACACATCAATTTAACTTTTTGCATCATTAGTTTTATGAAATTAAATTTTTTCAAGCTTTTATAGTGATTTGACACTTTTGACTCTTTTCCGATTTTCTCGACAAATACGCAATTTTTCAAAAATCTAAGTATGAGATTTTTCTCTATTTATCGTGGCACAAAACATATATCAAAATGATTCAAAAACAAAAAATTGTGCATCAAAGGGTTAACATACAGTTTTTTTCTTACAAAGTTTGTGGAAATTTCACAAAACAAAACGAGAAGATTGCAACTTGAAGATGGCACACAGTGATTTTTCAGCAATTCGATGTTTTTGGTTTTCTTTGCTCGAAAATAAGACGCCTTTCTTTTGTGAACGGTGTCAGTCGTTTCGAATCATGTTCGTTACTTTTTCTTGTAAAATTGTCTGAAAAATAGTCATGAACATTCTGATATCGTCGAATTCAATGATGTATCAAAACCCTACAAAGCAGAAAAAGAAACAACCAAAACAAAACTACGCTTCAAGGAAGAGCACGTGCAGTCACAAAGTGCGGTAAGTGGTTTTTGTTTGTTTTTGTATGAAGACAATTATTGTTATGAAGACATTGAAGAGGTATAGGTGCAATATTGTTTGGAAGTGAAAAAAGAAGCTAAAGCCCATGCCATTACTGCTGTGAAGAAACACAAACAAAAGTCGAATACAAAGCTTTCGGAAAAAACGCAAAATCAAACAAAGAAAACACAGAAGCGAAATTAATGAACTTGACAAACAGCCTCTCTGATCATCTGTACAAATAGGTAGGAAACGTCAAACAAGAACAATAAAGCGGCACCTGGCGACTGGTTGGAGAAATAGAGAATCATGCACATAGTTTGCTTTAACAAGTATGCGTCTGTGTAAGTGCATATGTGTTAGTTCAAACGTTGAAAGTATGACACATTGCACTTAGTCCCCAGGTGCCGCTGTATTGTTTACTATTTTCATGATCAGAAAGGCTGTTGACAAACTTCAATAATATGCTTTATTGGTTTTTTTTCTGTAAACTATTCATTCATAATTTTTATTGTAATTAAATCCTAAATTTTTTGATGTGTCTTTTTTCCTTTCATTTTATCATTTAAAAATAAAAACTAAGTATTGAAATACAAAAAAATGTACTATTCAAAATAAAATAAGGAGAAGAATAAATCGTTAAAAAATAATAGCGATAAAAATCTGAACAAAAAAGGCGTTTATAATTCTCTTACAAATCGGGCAATTCAATACTTTTGCGTCATATTGGAAATAAGGATGCAAATGTGTTGTGCGATACAAAGGAGGAGAGGATGTGTGTGTGTTTGTGGTAAAATATAAGGATCATATTTGTCATTTGCTTTTTTCTCTCTCTTTTAAACATAAGAACGGAAAGAAAATGAACATTTTACTTGTGTTTTTCTCACGAAGATATGAAATAGAAAAAAACCTACATACGCTATTGATGAAACACATTCAGTTTGCACCGCTCTCTCGACACCTAATCAAGCGGAGCCGGCCGATTAATTGGATTCTAGCATGTTTAATTCTCAATAAATCGCGCTTCATATCACTGACTGATTCGTTCGAACCAAGAACAAAAGTTCTTTTCCCTTCATTTCTTTCATTTTTTTATCTTCTTCTTCGTTGATTGTATGAAATAAACTTATTCTTATATCCAATTTTCGTTGCCTCCCATTTCATTTCAAAAATTCTCGTTTGTTTTGTTGCTACTGAAGCGAGTAGTTGTTTGCTTATTTTTTGTTTTCTTACAATATATATAAATGAAATGCAGTTTTTCTCCACTTAAAAAATATCCATACGGTGATTTAACCCTCTAATGCATACAACCGCCTCTAGACGGGCAACATTTGAACGCCTGTAGATCGTAAATCGTACATCGGATCACATTGCTTCAAAGAGAATTTTTATTTGTCAATGTTTTCTCTTTATTTTTGTCTTTGGCAATATTTGTCTATGTAGTGTGATTGTAAAGTTATAAACAAAAATGTGTGCAAAATCAAAAATTTGACAAAAAAAATTATTCGAACTCTAAATTAGACACATTTTTGACACTTTTAAACAATGGATTTGATTGTTCTATGATTTATGTCAATCGCATTTTCTGACTAAACCATGAGGAATCCAGGATTATGAATATTTTTTTAATTATCTAAGGCCAAAAGTCAACCAAGTACCAGTACTTCCAGCCTTGGGAAAAATTAATGCATTAGAGGGTTAAGTGAATTATTATATTTGTTCGTTTTTTATTTTCGAGAGTAGAATTAGGAAGAATAATGCAAATGATTTATTTTAGCTTTTAATTAAATTATGACCCTCTGCGTTATTCGAAACAATAATAAGCGACTGAAATCAATTCAGCTCACAACAAGTTGCCAAACAGTTTGGATATTTTGACTTTTATCATATCAATTTAAGAAGAAAATGACAAAAGAAACCATATAAAACAATGCAGAAAACTGACTAAAACTTTGTGAACATTTGTTTTATTTAGTATTAGTATTTTGGAGAATCTTTTCTGAAACCATCAACGAAATTACATCGAGCCATAATCGGTGATACTGTGAAAATGCATAGGACATCCGTATGATTACAGTTTCTATGAATTTTCAAGTGAACACAAAACAAATTATAAAATCGTTTTCATTATGGTCTGATGTCCACCTTATTTTCATCAAAGCGTCAATGTCAATTCCACCTGAAGTTATTTTGTGTCAGCAACGTTTCTTTCTTGAAACACCGTTTCGACCGTCCTTTCTTTACTACAAATGATTTATTTTAGCTTTTAACTGAATTATGACCCTCGAATTATTGAGGAGGACGGGAAAATATTATATAGAAAATAATAAGTTAATATAGTAATTAGTGATTACTATTTTCAAGCTTTCTTGATGAATATTAATTTTACATTCTTCTCATCATGCATTTCGTATCTCATGCATTCCCATCTGATTCCGAAGGCTGACTTCCAATTTGCTACTTCTTTTTTACAAACAGGTAAAATGGTGACTTTTACTAAGTCATGTAATTCGCTCAACATGGTTCGAATTCTTTGATAACTACGGGAAAATATTCCGCCGAAATTGTACAATTTTAATATTTTCAGTTTTTTATAACGCAGTATGAAGTTGAATGAATGCTCTCTGCTGTACACGCTTCCTAATGTCAATTTCTTGAGATCATCAAACTCAAATAACTCCAACCGACCACGAGGACTCCCGCCAACGGAAAAATTGTCGATGGTTTTGAATCTACGATTAATTGGAATTGGGCGCGTTACATCTCTCTCACGCATATTTGATATGTATAATGACAACTTTTTCAGTTGCGTTAAATTTGCGTCGATTAAGAAATAGATTAAGTCATTATAATTTTCTCCAGGAGTTCTTATCGTCAATGATAATTTTTTGATGTGCCGGTTCATGCGGAGAAAAGAAATGAAAGAATTCACGCTTTCACGGTTAGTCAATCCCAACTTAGCATTTTCCAGTTTTGGGAAGTGTTTTTCCATTGATTTTGTGCAACTCCCTAATTTTATTTTAGATATATTTTGACTAAATTCCAGAGCTCCCACGTCGCCGCAGCCATGAAAGATGAGTTTCTGTATTTTTTTCAATGGCCTATTCAATGAGAACACTGAACAACCCATGACTTCCATCACTTCCACTGAATCGGCACAATATTCGGAAACATATTCTATCAATTGCTTCCCTATAAAATTAATGCAATCAATTTCATAAAGGAGGTGAAGATATTTGATATATTCTCCGAAATTTCGCAATAATTTAAAAAAAACTTTGGCATCGTCAATTCTGACGATCTGTTTGTACCTAAATGAAATCGGAAAGAACGATCGGTGTCTATACCATTTCGAGGTTTTTGGAATGCGATCAATTGATATTAGATGATTTCCATATTTTCGAGAGAATACTGATCCAGCAATATTTCGAAGTTGTTTGTTTACGTCGGAAACGTATGCCAAATCCTGCAGTTCCAAAAGATACAGAATCGAATCAATTACGTCGTCGCATAAATCGTCGAATCTCGTTGGCGTTTCCTTGTATTCAATCACTTTCTGTCCCTCTGACATTTCAGCTGTTTCATGTTGAGATTTTCGTTTCAGTTCATAGTCGTTCATTGAGCTGGTTGGCTATAACAATGGGAAAAGAACAACATATAAGCGGCTTTCAACACGACTTGGTTTCCAGTGACGATCATTGATTGAATCTCCAAAGTACGCATTTCTATTTAGGTCGAAAACGTTTTTGCATACGAACCTCCCCGTTGTGGTCACATGTAGTCGGTTCATCGTTGTCGTCTGAGATATCCTGGTTGTTGATTAAGTTCTGCACATCTTGGATATCAGCTTCGCGAGACCCGACCATCATCAATTTAAAATGCAGCTTAAGTTCTAACGAACTTAACCGTAAGTCATCGGCAGCCACTTTGCCTAGAATATTTTTTGAATTTTCAACACTTCCCTAGTGGTTCAACTGTGGAGTTGTGCGGAGATACACAAGAACAGTATATAACACAAACGTAAGCCTGCGTTTGTGTGTGCGCGCAATGGTTACTATGCGTACACAGGTTCTTATACACTGTTTTCGTCTATCTCCGCACATCTCCACGCTTCTCCGTATAAGTGAGCGCATCTCCACAGTTGAACCACTTGGGTTATTTCATGAAAAACATTAAAAAATCGTGTCTCGTCATCTCTTAAGATTCAACACAGCGGAACATACCTTTATACTTCAGATTTAACAGCTTTTGTCGTTCGGGCTGAACGTTAGTGAGTTCTGCAATTTTATGCTTGAGCATGGCCACCGTTTCTTTACGGCTGATATTCGTTATCGGATACTCTTTTCCATTCCATTTAACGATGATCGACACATCCTTAGGTGAGGTCATTTTCTCGTTCAAATAATTAACAATCCGCAATACTTTCTTATGACTATGTGACTTGCTGTTGTGACGAACACAAGATAATTGATGAACATTGGGTGGAGTGTTCCACTTATTACCAAGTTGTGAGCTAAAAAATCTTTCAAGTTGTCTGGAATTTGACTCAGTCAGTTCGTCTCTTAATGGCTCTCTTAATGCGATACTAACTATCAAATGGAAGTGAATGTGAAAATACCAAGTGAATGCTAATAATGAGTACAAAGTCCTTCATTAGTTGGAACTTGCAAGAGTAATGCGAATGCCATTGTGGTAGCTAACAATACATTTTCTATCGAAACGAATTTTCTGTCGCTTATTTTGTATTTTGTCTTTTTAAGCCGAATAAATACTACATTTTTTTTAAAGTCGAACGAACGAACAAAACATTTTTTTAAATCGTGACGAACGAACAAGTGTTCGTTCGTGTTCGTCGGCCAACACTAATTACACATAACGTAAATACGTAAATGTATCACTAGCGTTAACACAATAGCCAATAATAGTTAAAAGTCACGGGCATACACGCACACAAGTACATGAACGATATTAAGGATCTCGAAGCGTCTGTTGAAATAAACGGAATATTTTGTTTAGCTTACTTTTCATTTTCAATGTTTGGTAATTGACTTAGTGTTGCCGATATATCAAAATCCCATTTCGTTGTCTGAATTTCTGGGCAAATTGTAACAGCCGGGAAAGGAATTATTGCGATGGAATCCTTCTTCTCCGTTGGGACAATTGTCACTGGCTTTAGTTGCCATTGAATCCAAATGTTTTTGATCATTGATTCACATAGCCAGAGTGATGCCACGACAAAAATTACCCACCAAAGTCTGACTCAAATGATGGAAGTTCGAACATAATCAACATTTGCTTATTGAAAAATGAAGTTCGTCGTCAATTTTGGAACATTTTGACTAGATTTTTGTTCGTATTATGATTAAACATTTTATCGATTGTAATGAAATTTGATCGAATTCAATTTGGTAATCGATTCACATGTCTTAATAAGACAGTCGTATGACAGGGTTAACTGTTACAATCATTATTCACTCATTAATGATTAAGTGACTATTTACTTGTATAATCAAAAAATCACAGAGGCTATTGTTGAAAGATTTATTCAAACTGGTCAACTTACCGTTCGGTGAAATAACGAACGCCATGGATATTGCTATTGTCACAATAATCTATCAAATACCTCCGCATCGGCGGTGGTATCATTTTCATCTGAATGAAATTAAAATAAAATAGAACAAAACCATAAATTATCATTTTCAAGCGATATGTGTCTTATTTATTCATTTTACTGATGATTGGAATATGTTGAAAAATTTCTTCTTGAAAATGTTTCGTAAATTTATTTCCATATTGACTCGTTTTGTTTCCTCAAACGGACAGAAAATACTGGATGCGATATACTGGCAAACAACCATAAAATAGTTGAATTGCATTTTCATAATGATAAATTAATCAATAGAACTGAACGACAAAAACAACACAAGTCTGATTGAGATCAATGTTTTAGTTCTATAATTCTCTTCAATAATTGAATGAGATTAGCGTGAGAATAATCAAATAAAGCATTTTTTTAAGGTTTCACTGCTCATAAACAATGATTTCAAAGCATTTTCCACTTACCATGTGATGAAAATCTGGTGTCCATAACAGTTTCAATAAAAAAAAAAACATTAATAATAATAACTCAACTCATTCTATTACGTTTCTAGAATCGTTGTTCATGTATCTGATATTTGTAGCGAAGTAAAGCTCCTATTCTCATATACAGTGTGACAGACTGTATCAATAGACAGAATTTAAAAAACCTTTCTCCATTTGTACAGCATTTGCATTGGAATGGTGACGGTTTTTCTAATTTCTGTCTATATAGCCTGTCACACTGTACGTGTCAATATTCTTTTGGATCGGGTGGAGAAAATAAAAGAATCACAAATGATCAAACACTGAAATGTTATATGAATCGAATGATTGTGTTATGAATTGTATGAATCGGTGTCAGTTTTGCTGATTTTCAGGCAGTTTTGATAAGTTGAGCTATTGAAGTAAAATTATTTGCTAATGCGTCATTTAATTTATATTGCCAATATACTTGGGATGATGCGCATTTTGTTTTGTTTCTTTTTTCTTATTCGCAAACAAATTTGCCTATCTTAAGCTTTGTCTCCGTGTATAAAGATAGTCAAATTTGTTTACAAATAAGGAAGGGGCTTCTATGTCGGTTTGGCATTTGAATTTTTATTCAAAAATTCGCACTCAGTGCCATGCATTCACAACGCTGCCATATGATTTCTATGTAAACATTCGCACTCACATTCGTATAGCAGTCGTATTTCGCTGTTCTTGAACGTTCTCACGAATGCGAGTGTGAATGTTTACATAGAAATCATACGGCAGCGTTGCGAATGCATGTCCAAACACGAATGAACGAATGAATTATGTAGTCACAAGTTCGCTGTCATAGCCGCATTCGTCGCATTCGTAAACATTCGAATTTTTCTAGGGGAATATCACGCTCCTGAATCTTGTGAGATATTTGAAATAAACATCAATTGTATGACATATTTTCGAATATTTCGAATAAATAAATCAGATTTTTGTAGATTTTGGAGATATTTGAGATTTTTTGCATTAAATCCGAATAAATACATTTAAATATTATTCATAACCCAAGAGAAACGATCAATATGTTTATACGCTGTCTATCCGCCGAAAATACACTACAATATATATTCACGCTTATTGGACGCCCAATTGAATATATATTCTAGTGTATATTCGGTGTATTCTTCAGCGTGAAACATATTGAATCAATGAATGCATTCATGGCCATCAGAGGGCGCCTGAATAAGTTTCAATATGTTTCACGCTGAAGAATACGCCGAAAATACACTAGAATATATATTGAATTCGGCGTCCAATAAGCGTGAATATATATTGTAGTGTATTTTCGGCGGATAGACAGCGTATAAACATATTGGCCGTTTCTCTTGGGAATCACAAAAATCCACAATATTCCGCCGTATTCACAAATATTCACCATATTTCATACGACAGATTCTTAAGATAAATTGGATTTTTTTGAAATGTTTGAAATAATTTAAGCGTGATATTCCCCTAGGAATTTTTGTTCTGAAATGCGAATGCATTCGCAGCATTCGCGAGAGATAAATCCCCTTAGAAGGAAAAAAAAGAACAAAATAATATTTCACGTAAACAATATTGGTAATGATTACTCTATAAAAATCGTTACCAAATTGTTTTGTTCAATAAGTTTTTGGTGAGTTATTGTGAGTTTTGTACAAGTGCTCGTGAGTCGCTCCATGAAAGAGAGTCTTTTGTTATAAATTATTCAATAATGAATTGGTTTTTTCTTATTATTTACAATGGAGTTTAAAAAATTGAGAAAATAGCTCGAAGAAAACTAAAGAAATTATTTTAAATAGTCTACTCAACTAGGTGTGCTGGAGAAGCAAAAAAAAAAAATCAATAAAATAAAGAAGATTTATTTGCCATTGTATATAATTGGCCCATTTAAGACTGATAGAAGATTCATAACATTGATATTGATCGCGCAATTTTTAAAATATTTGATAACGGGGAAAAAAGGAAAATATCACGCATCTTATCTCGATTCAGGTGTTAATAAAGGGATCAACACAAACTCTCGATACTTTATCAAATGCAATCGTATAAAAGTTCATTGACTACTTTCGTTTCATCAGTTCATTTCTAGGCTTCACATATAATAAACAAAAAAAAAATAAAGTTCAATCGAAACACTTACAAAATAGTTCGATTCGTTTGCTCTTCTTCTTTGTTAATCAATAGAAAATCTCAGAGATGTTACGGTTACTTGCGATCATTGTGCTCATCAACTCGGGAATTTGCCACAATTTATCTAAAGTTACTTGGGCTCATGCAGTCAATTCTTGGAAATTACTAAATCAAACGCTCAGTTCAAGCAAGTTCATCTTTAAAATATTTAAATAATTGAAAATGAAGAGAACTTCTGTTTTTTTCTCCTTATTCCGTAGGCGATATTCAGATGATTGAAGCTGATGTGATCATTGGAAAGCATAAAAATGGATATAAAATTCCAATCATGGGTCATCCACCGTTTTCTTCACGGGATTTATCGTTGGAACAGTTCTTGACCGCTGTTATTGAACACAACGGGAATGGTGATAACAATAAAAAGGGCATTAAACTTGATTATAAAACAATCGAAGCCGTGCAACAGTCAGTATTCATGTTAAAAAGAAAAGACGTACGTATAAATATCGATCGATTGTAATTATCAACAAATTTTTAACTTTGCAATTTTGTGAATAGTTGAAGGCTAACACGCTTTGGATAAATGCTGATATTATTCTTGGTCCAGGCAAAGGAATCAAACCAAAACCAGTTGACGCAAATTTATTCTTTGATGTCATTAAATCGATTGAAGAGTTAAAAAGTGTAACATTCTCAATTGGATGGACTACAAGTGTGAATATAATTCCTGGGCTACCACTATGGACCATGAAAACAAGATATAGTCAAAATCATGTTGATGCCATGATCAAAGCTATTGAAGAAAATCATATCGATGGCTCTAATTATCCGATTTCATTTCCAATTCGTGCAGCCATCGCCGCAGAAAGTAGAGAAGTGTTACAATACTTATTTAACGAAGTAAGCAAACAGAGCAACGTTACCTTCACCATTTGGTCGGCCACCAACGACGAGGTGAATATTTCGAAATTACAAGATTTGATCCTATCAATTGGAACAGATAAAGTTTATGTTGATGTACCGAAAAAATTGAAAGATCAATTGAATCTGAATAATCCGTCAAACGACGTATGTAAAATTAAATTTCCTGAAATCGACTAGGCGATTTATTACAAGTTGAATAAAATGCAAAGCAAAAAAAAACTCATGTTTTTATGCAATTGAAGTGTGGTGTATTTGGGTCTTTTGACTACAAATATAATCCATTTCTCTTTCGGTTGAAATCAATCGATAAGCAATAACCCTTGATTTGCAGTGAACAAATTGTGTCATCGTTAAATTCATCCTAATAAATGCTCTATTCTGATCCTGATCCGGAACCAGAGCCCGAACGATTCAGCGATCCGCTTGCACTGCGACTTCCACTGCGACTACGGCTACGCTCAGAACCGCTTCATGAACGGGCACTTCCGCTGTGTGACCGTGATCGCGACCGGGATGAACGAGAATCTGTTTACATAAAAAGTTTATATGAGAATTAAATCTTTTTTTGCTCATTTTATTTTATGAAATCAGCAATACTCACGACTTCCACTTCTGGCCGATTCACTTCTATTGGACACTGGGCTACCACTGCGCGAACGTGATCTCGAGCCTGGAATTTTATTCATTGAAATGAGTTTGTCAACAAAAAAAACTTTTCGACAGTGTAATTACTTACCACTTTTAACAGAACCACTACGGTTCGATGCTGGTGTTCCGCTGCGCGACCGTGAATTTGAACGAGATCTACTACCTGCATGAGAAATCAATTAATATCAGAAGTATTATTGAATCGTAAATAGTAAACTTCACTTACCACTTCGGCTTCTGGCCGAACCACTTCGAATCGATGCAGCGCTACCAGTGCGTGAATGTGAAGCTTCCGCTGCGTGATCGGCTTGGTGTTCGGGAACCTTTAGAACATAGATACAGAATAATTAAAAATTTTATTATTTAAACGAAAATTTCGATCAATTGCAATTGTTTTGCAAAATCATGCAAACGCCTACCCGACGCACTACGGCTTTTTGAACGCGACCGCGATGAACGTGATTTGCCAGAATGGTCACTTTCGTTGCCGTCCGGTTTTTCTCTGTCATCATTTTCCTTTTCGATTTCAACATTTTCTTGGCTTTCCGTCTCCTTTTCAGTGTCCATGAGCTGCTCTGTTTCTTCAGCTTCTTCGATCTCTTCGATTTCTTCTTCTTCACCCGGTGGTTCCAGTTGCTTTTCACGATAGCGTTGCAATCGATGTTCACCTTCGTTCAATGTACAGGTGGGCCAATTCGCGAGTATATACTCTCATACTCACTCATTTTGAAAATGAGTATTCTCGACATACTCTCATACTCATAGATACTCTTTGAGTATGAGAGTATATACTCAGAGTATATACTCTTTGATTTTTCGAGCGGCTTCAAAACAGCTTGTAATACGAGTAAAAATTGCACATAATGAGTGTGAGCGAAACAGCATAAGTTTTCGGCGCTCGATTGTCTTCCATATAGGCCAATTCAATTGAATATAATATTATTAAATATTTACGGCAAAACGGACCGTGGCGTCACTCCCGAAGGGAGTGTTAACACCCGGCTGGTTTAACGGACTAGAATACAAATCCGGTGGAATTTCAGCTGATCGATGGATTCTCAGGATTTGACCTGATTCTAGCACTTCAGTTTCTTTGCGTTGTGGTAAAATTCCATACAAAACATAGGGAATATGACTTTACAGATGCACATAAAAAAGGAAGCACTGGAACCTGGTCAAATCCTGAGAATCCATGGATCAGCTAGGAGTGACACCACGGTTCATTTTGCCGATTTACCCAGCCGTTTTCGAGATATGTGACCAATTTTCAGTGGTTTGGTGAACATTGAGTCATGACAGATTATATATTTCAGTTTAAGCGATATGGCATTTTAAAGCTGATGTTCTTAGCTGAAAAATAAGGCTAATGCCACATGTCCATGTCGTCTGGTAGGGTACTTATGGCTCCTAAAGTGATGATTAGTGCCAAAATAGTGTCGAAAATGAGCATGTCATCACTTGAAGAGCCATAACTTTCCAACTGGACATCATAGGTGAATCGTATTGGCTCTATTTTCTGGCTATGAACATAAGCTTTAATATAGCATACATAAGAAACTGAAATATGGCCACTGTCATGAGTTTATTTGGCCAGATGTTCACCAAACGCTCAAAAATCGGTTCAAAACTCGAAATTTCCCTACAAATGAGCGATTTTTTCCACTAAACTAGTTAAAAAACAAGTTTATCTCATCTACAGAGACACGTTTATGAAAATCCAAGCGTAAAATATGGAAGGATATACAGCTATTTGCATGTAATAGGACAAAATTCTCATCAAATGGCTCATTTTTGGTACCGAAGAGTGATTTTGAGCCAAAAATGTAGGTAGAACATGATTTTTCCGGGTTAATATGTTGAGCAAAGTTGTCCAGTTATACGTTGGCTACAAAATTGCTGAAGACAGTGGCCATAAAAATTGGATACGGTGCGAGTTATGGTTGAAAAATGGTAAAAAATGGGCATTTTTGCGATTTTGAGGCCCTGGGTGCATTTTTTGGGGTAGGTTTGTTTCACATTTTTTTTCTCCAATTCAATACCTACAACTTTGCTGAAGACACAAAAACAATATTCCTTACGGTTCACCGAGAAATAGCCTTGTGAAAATATCGGAAAAGTGCTCAAAATCCAGTTTGAGCCAAAAATACATAATTTCATAAAATGAATATATGATGTAAGTTGGCAAATCTAATGATGCAGAATATCTAGTTTTGGTAAGTACTTTCAGAAGCGATTGGTTAAAGTGAGTCCCTCATCCATGTGTTGCACTGTGTAATATTATATTCAATTGAATTGGCCTATATGGAAAACAATCGAGCGCCGAAAACTTATGCTGTTTCGCTCACACTCATTATGTGCAATTTTTACTCGTATTACAAGCTGTTTTGAAGCCGCTCGCAAAATCAAAGAGTATATACTCTGAGTATATACTCTCATACTCAAAGAGTATCTATGAGCATGAGAGTATGTCGAGACATACTCATTTTTCGTTTGTATGGGAGTAGGAGTAGGAGTATGAATTATACTCTCTTACTCCGCTCACCTGTAGTTCAATGGAACATGATTAACTACCAATCTATTGAGAAAATCGCGCTGACAGAGTTGGAAATGAAAGTGAGTATGAGCCATGACTTTGATTGATAATGCCGCTGTGAGGCTCACTTGGAATTAACCAAACCAATTGAAAACAAGCGTAATAATAATAATAATAATTTCGCTTATTTAGATAATTTCCATATATACAGCATTAAATTAAAATTGTTGTTTGATATAGCTCCTTAAAGAATTTACAATTTTTGATTCAGATTCCTGGCTCTTAATTTCAATTGGTAATGAGTTATACATTTGTATGCCCTTGTAAAAAGGTAGCGGGGTGCCTGCCCATTAACGATCTTATGTATAAGTGTCAATGTTCTTAAATTAATCAATTGCACAACACTCATTAGTTCTAACGCGTTTAACATCACATGGCTTAAGCGTTTCTTCATAAACAAAAACAAAAGTCGGCATTAAAATCATCAAAAAATGTTCAAAAATTACCCCTTTAATTTGTTTGGCAAAAAATGTGAAATTACACCCTCAAAAGACTTGCTCAATTTTGTAAAATTTGTGAGAATAGAAAGAACTTCTGAACTCTTTGCCGATAAATGAAACGAAAAAAAA